AGGCTGTAAATCTCACACGAGGAAGTTGTGTCTTGTGAACCACTGGTGAGTTTGAATCACCAGAGAGGCTCTGGCATTGGCTTCATAATGCAGCTCCGTCTGGATTATATTGCTCGGGCTCCTAAAATTTCCTCCAGGGACCCTATAAAGCATAGTTCTTGGTTGTAACAGGGGCTCTTCAAGAGCTGAAATCAATTCACTGGGCTCAGTTTGATTTTTTGGCTTGGGTTTACAGCATAAGCCCTCATATTTGAGACTTTGACAGCTGGCTCCTGTTGGCTTCTTCTCCCCCATCCAGACATGTGCTTCTGGGTCCACATTCAACCCAGGTCCTCCAGAGACCTGTCACTTTGCCACTCTCTGCTCGTTGCCTGTCAGGATCTTCATGACATTGTCTACGTTGCCTATGCGTCTTTCAGATTTCCATCATAATGTTGTCCCCTTTTCCAGGGCGTCCTCTTTGGCTCTCTTAGCTGTTGATATCTAGGCTCTGATTCCTGCCAACGGCACGTCTAAAAGAAAGTGGTGATGCCCCAGTCTACCCTTCCTCATGATCATTGGCACGGTTGCGTCAAGAGACGCAGTAGTGGGGCTGGTGGTTCAATCCACAGCATTGAGGGTTTCCTTCGTTTCTGATGGCCTTCTGTTTTACCAAATGCGTGTACATGCAGACAGGCTGTGCCTCAAACTTCCAGGTCGTCACCAGGCTGTAGAGAATGAGACTCACTGGTGTCAACCATTCTGCGAGTGCTTACATCTGTGAAGGAGCTGGACACAGATATACTTACACAGTTCTGACAAAATCCACACTAAACCACGTGATCCACACAGACACAGTTACATGGTGCGAGCAAAGTGCTTTGCAGACACTTTTACATGGCGCTGGCAAAGTACATGCACAGACACTTACATGGAGCTGGCCAAGTGTGCACAGAGACATGGAGGCAAAGACGTCTGGTCAGTGCTGGCAAAGAGCATCCAGGGACATCTACATGGTGCTGACAAAACACATACAGAGACACTTACATGGTGCTGGCAACGTGTGCAGAGACTTCTACGTGGTGCTGGCAAAGGGCGTGGTATATTAGAGTGCACACAGGGACACATGTATGGTGCTGGCAAAGTGAAATTATTTACAGAAAGCAGATAGTGAACAATAGCAACAGACTCTAAAGTGGGAAACACTTTTTCCTTCTCCAGTTTTTCCCTGTCTTAGTCTTGAGCCCCTGGGTGGGTACACGGTGCTACAGCCCAGTTCCTGTGCTCACTGCACTAGCTCGCCCCACAGTGCCGGGACAGGGGTTGCCTGGCTCCCAAGGACTTTATTTGTCCCTGGCCTATCTGGCTTCTGCTGCCAGATACCTATGTATACCTCACTATGCTACCTGGACTGGTGAGGCTCTCTCCCTTCAACACTACGCAGGCCCATACTGTCCAGGATGGAGGAGTCATGTATCTCCACACTTTTTTGGCTCTGCTAGTAAGATTCCTGCCCAGAGACACTCAAATGAAGCTCTCACTTTGTGGACTGGTAAACCCACTGAAGCTGCCTGGCTTGATGTGCAAGCAGCACTTCATTCTGTTTTCAATGTTATAATTTTGGGGGGGGGTCTGGGGGGTTCTCAGCACAGGGACCCTGGGTACTTAGTCTAAAGACTAAAGATGTCCTCTATTCTAGACTCTTCTTGATGGTGGTAAGGTAGCCTCTGACCTCTATGGGATTGGTCCTTCCGTATTAACCTACTCTTCGTCAATTTCAAGGTTTACCCCTTGCACCAGATCAATTTCTGAAGTACGTCACAGTCACTGAACTTGCATCATCATTGGCCTATCCTTTGCAAGACTGAACAGCCAGTCATTTTAAGGTCACGGCTGGGAAGGGCATATGAAAATGATTCATGGTCCTTTACCAAACATGATGTTCTTTTCTATCAAGTGCTCTCCCCTGATGATGCAGCTTAAGTAAGCAATTCACAGGCTTGTTATTCTCACTTCTAAAGCATTTGCTGGTGATCATGTGTTCGTCCTTCTGACAGTCCACACCATATTCAAGATTCTTTACTGTAACTACCATTTACATACACCAGTTCTTCTGCGATCTTCCTTACTCATTGTCTTGCTTTCACATGCAGAAGAGACCATTGAAAGTACTTTGGCTTGGGTCAAGCATGCCTCATTTCGAAGCAACAGCTTCTTATCACTTTAAAGACGTCTTTCACTGTGGATTAGATCAAAGTCATATGTCGTTTGATTTCTGGATCGTTGCTTCCAAAAAGCATTGATTATTGGTCCAAGTGGAAGGAATTTTTTGACGACTTTGTTGAAACCCTTTGAGCTTCTGTTGCTGTTGTTAGGTGCCGCTGTCCAGCTCCAACTCTCGGTGACCTTGTGCTGTACTCACTCACCCATCGCCGCCGTCCAGTAGGTATTGACTCATAACTGACACTCCAGCAGGTTTCCAGCACTGTCTGTTGCATGATAGGAGAATGGTCATCTCTCTCCCAAGATGCTGCTGATGGACTTGAACTGTTAGAAAAGTATGGCCTTTGGGTTACCAGCCCAGGTCCCGACAGACTGTCCCACCATAAACCTCGATATAGTGTTGTTATGTGCATGAAATTGGACCATATTGATAGCCGACCCTTTAGCAAGTTTTCTGAGGATATACATGGCACAAGAGAAGGTTGCCCATCTTTCTCCCACAGAGGAGGACTAAACATGGCCCAGTCCTGACCATCTTCATACTCACTGTTGGCCTCGAGCCCATGTACCAAGTTGTCAGTCTGTCTCCTCAGTGAATGGAAAATCACACAGCCTTCCATAGTCAGATGAAGATGGTATTTAAAATTCCTTCTTTGCTGTGGTTTGAGTGACAGTTTACAAAGCTTATTGGATTACCCATTCAACCACTCACACTTATGTTTTCTAATACGAGTTACAATACCTGACATGAAACTTCATAATTCCCACTTCATCCCTGTGAATCTCATCTTCACTAATCCTTCCAGCCTACCTTTTCCTTCCTCCTGGACTTTATTCTTGGGCAAACACTGATGAATTGACCTTGTATAATTGGTTATCCTAAAAAGTGAGCGCCTGCCTCTCAAACCGGCATTATTGGTCTCCTTATAGACCTATCTGGGTTTGTGTGTTTTTTTTTAAATTATTTTTTCCCATTGTTAAACATTTTCTTCTCCTCCACCCCTAACCCACCCTGCAATGCACCCCTTCTTCCAGATTGTTGTCATATGTGTAATGCTTAATCATATATTCCTTTTAGACAGTTCTTCCCTCATCTGTTATAATGCAGTGTTCATTATCTATCTGCTCTTTCCCCATTCTCTCTCCAACACCCCCATGCCAGTCTTATAACAGCAGTATTAAACAGTATTTGTCCTTTTGTGACTGAGATATTTCACTCAGCACAACATCCTCCAGGCTCCCCATATTGTATAATGTCTTACAAGTTCACTGTTGGTCAGTGCTGTGTAATGTTCCATTGTGTGGACGTACCGTAGTTTCTCTGTCCATTTGTTTGTTGATGGGCACTTGGGTTGCTTCCATCTCTCTGCTGTTGTGAATAACTCAGCAACAAACATGTCTTGTGTTTGGCTGAAAGTCGAGTCAATAAGGTCAGTTCTATCCCAGATTTGAAGGGTGAATATGATTTTGAAAACTGCCCCAGCATCAACACCATTGAGCTAAAATGTAATTTACTGAAGTATTCAAATATAGTGGCTACACTGAGACCAAGGTATCTTCAAGTGGCAAGTTGGTGCTCTTTTTAAAAAAATATTTTTAAATTGATTTTCATAGAATAATTCATGTCCATCATGTTTCATTCATATGCATTGTGTTTTCTACAATCTCTCATTTACATTGTTTCACAAAATCATTCACACACATTGTATGCCATGCAGTTAATTACCATTGATCTATGCTGACGAGGGTCCGAGGCAGTTGCTGCAGATGGTCAAGGACTGCAGCCTTCAATATGGATTGAAGTTCAACATCAAGAAAACAAAGATTCTCACCACTGGGCTGATTGGTAACATCATGATAGATGGTGAAGAGATTGAGATTGTTAACAGCTTCTATTTGCTTGCCTACGCAATCAACACTCTTGATACCAGCAGCCAGGAAATTAAAAGACAAATTGCATTGGGAAAGTCTGTTGTCAGGGACCTCTCCAAAGTACTGAAGAGCAATGATGTCAGACTGGAGACTAAGGTGGTGCCGATCCAGGTCTTTGCAATTACTTGCTATGTGTCAGAAAGCTAGACAATGACAAGGGATGATAGAAGGAGAATTGATGCCTTCGAGCTGTGGTGCTGGAGGAGAGTATTGAATATACCATGGACTGGCAGGCGAACAAACAAGTTCTTCCTAGAAAGGGTGAGACCAGGCTGCTCTTTGGAGACAGCTTCATTTGAAGCTTCATCTGATATACTCTTGGCATGTTGCAAGGAGGGACCAGTCCTTGGAGAGGGACATAATGCTTGAGAGGGAAGAGGGACAGCACAGGAGAGGAAGACTCTCTATGAGGTGGATTGATTCAGTGACTGGGGTAATGGGGGTAGGTGTGTCAGAGACTATAAGGTAAGCACAAGATAGAGCAGCGTTTAGGGCTGTTATACATAGGGTCGCTATGAGTCGCAAGCGACTTTATGGCACATAACAACAACAACAACAACATAACAACAACAACAACAACAACAACAACAACATGCCTGTTATTACACCATCCTTTCAGGTCCCCATTGAATCTTTCCCATTCCTCCCCTCTCCCCAGTCTGCCCCCTAAATTCTGCTATCCTAGTCCTTTCCACTCTCCCTCTTTCCCCAGCACACATCTTGTTAGTTATCCTGTTTCTGCAATAATGCTCTGATGCAGTATTTGTCCTTACGAGACTAAGTTAGTTCACTCAGCAATAATGTTCTCTAGATAACTAGAGTTTTACTAAGAGCCTCTTTTTCGTCCCCTCTCCCTTTGCTCTCAGCCTGAAGACAAGCAGAAAGCAGCAGCAGCCTTTGTCCAGCTCCAGAGAGCCATGGGGACGCTGGGCATCGCGGAGAGCGAGCAGCGAGCCCTGTGGCGGGTCCTGGCTGCCATCTACCACTTGGGCGCTGCGGGGACCTGCAAAGGTATGTCGCCTCCGCCAGGCTCACCTGGACCACCAGCTCTCCCCTCTGTCAGGTGCCTGACGAGGCCTGCTCTTCGTGGGTTGGGGACAGGGGCAATCCGTCCCATGCTGCGTGTCTGGGGTTACTCTTTGGAAGGTGCAGCAAGAAAGAAACAAGCCTGGATTTTTCAAACATTCTAGGTCAGCCGTGTCTAGTGTCTAGAAGCTGTACAGGGATGGCAATGCCACTTTAAAATGTGGCCTGTGTGACTGAAGAATTAAAAAAAAATATATACCTTATTTTTATGTTGGTGAAATTATGCAAAGACAATGCCAGACCATTGCAGTGATTTCTGCACAAGCGATACATTGGCAGTGGCTACAAACTTCAGTTTGCTCTGGCTTTCTCACTGTCCCTTTGCAAATCATTCCCCCTCCATTCGCTTAAACTTGCTGCCTCCTCTAAACATCCCATCTAATCCTTTGATTTGATCCCATGTTGATCTAAGTGCACGGTGCTCCAAACAGACATCCATCAGTAATGAAGATAAACTCTTGTTGTTCAAACAGAAGAGAAAACTGAAGGGCTTAAAACCAGAAAAGGTGTGAGTCAGAGTTGTACCCTTTCTCCATGTCTGTTCAATCTTTAAAAACTCCTCGCCATTGGATCGATACGCAACATCGTGATGGACAGAGAAAGGATTATAATTGTCTATAATTATAAATGACTTCGCCTCACCTGGATCCACAATCAGGCCACTTGGTACCAGCTAGTCAGGAGATCAGGAGACATATTGCACTGGGTTCAGTCTGGATTCAGGAACTTTTCCAAATTATTGAGGAGCAGGGATGTCAGTTTGAGGACTAAGGTGCGCTTGATTCAGGTCATGGTCTTGTCAGTCATTTGCTATGTATCTGAGAGGTGGACAATCACTAAGGATGACAAAAGAAGAATTGATGTCTTTGAACTGTGGTGTTGGAGAGAGTGCTGAACATCCCATGCTGTTGTGTTGTTATGTGCTGCCGAATCACTTGCTACTCATAGTGACCCTGTGTACAACAGCTCTAAACCCTGCTCTGTCCTTTGCCAATCTCAGTGTCTCTGACACACCTACCCCGATTACCCCAGTCACTGAATCAATCCACCTGATAGAGAGCCTTTCCCTTCTGCACTGTCCCTCCAACCTCCCAAGCATGATGTCCCTCTCCAAGGACCAGTTCCACCTTACAACATGCCCAAAGTATGTAAGACAGAGCCTCCGAATCCTTGTCTCCAAGGAGCCGCCCAATTTAACCCTCTCCAGGATGAACCTGTTTGTTCTCCTTGCAGTCCATGGTACCCTCAGTACTCTTCTCCAGCACTACAGCTCAAAGGCATCAGTTCTCCTTCTGTCCTCCTTAGTCATTGTCCAGCTCTCTAATGCATAACAAGTGATTGCAAAGTAGACCAAAGGAATAAACAGATACATCTTGGAGAAGGTGTAGCCAGAGTGATTCTTAGAGGCAAAGATGACGAAGCTTTGTCTCACAGACTTTAGGCATGTTGCTAGGAGAGGTTGTTCCTTGGAGAGAGACTTCTTGCTGGGAGAGGTGGAGAAACAGCGAAGGAGAGGAAGAGCCTTGAGCAGGTGGGTTGACACTGCAGCTATGGGCTTGATTGTGAGAGATTGTGAGGATGGCACCGCGTAGGACAGAGTTCGGATTAGTTGTTCATAGGGTCTTTATGAGTCGTACTCAACTTGATGGCACCCAACAACAAGAACAACATTCAGTCTGTATGCTGAGCGAATGACGTGATACACTGCATTATATTGTTATGTGCCATCAAGTTGTAACTGACTCATAGCTGACCCGCCAGTGTGTCTTCTGAGGCTGCAAATCTCATGGGAGGAGATTGCCCATCTTTTTGCCTCAGTGCAGCTGGTGGATTTGATCCAGCAACCTTTGGATTGGCAGCACAGCTCCTTACCACTAAGCTACCAGAGCCCCCCAAACTCATTTTAGAGGATGGAAAACCAAGGTGCAGAGTATCTGTGTGCAATAATGAGGTCTTGAGTGAAGCAGATTGGGGTTCAAACTCCTAAACTTCTCTGATCTTCAGTGCCCTGGGTGGTGCAACCACTAACCAAAAAGTTGATGGTTCAAACATGTTAGTGGTCTGGAGGTCTATTTCTGAAAGGTTACAGCCTTAAACACCCATTGGAACAGTTCTACTTTGCAACACACAAGGCTGCCATGAGCTGAAATTGACTCAATGACAACTGTTGAATTTTGTTTTTAAATTTTTTTAATTGTTATGTGAGTGAAAGTTTAAAAGGCAGATTTGTTTTTCATTCAACCAGTCACACATACTTTGTTTGATGACATTAATTATAACACCCACTTTAATAAGTGCACTTACCCCAGTTCCTCCTTATAATTCTCCTTTCCATCAATCTTTCTATTCTACCCTTTTCTGCCTTCTGGGCTTTATCTTTGTGAAAATGCTACCCTTTTGACATTAAATGGTTGGTTTTCTAAGGAGTAAGGAAGGAAACTCTCTGGTGGCTTAGTGGTAACGAGTTCGGCTGCCAACCCAAAAGCACACAGTTCAAGTCCACTGGCTGACTGCTCTTCTGGAGAAAGACGGGCAGTCTCCTCCCGTGCAGTTTACTGCCTCTGAAAACCCACTGGAGAGTCAGCTCTGAGTTGATTCTGACTCCAGGGTACCACAGCACTCTAAGGCTCAGGATGTCATTGGCCTCTTTCACATCTGTTGGTCCCTTCTCTCTCCTGTTTGGCTGATAGCTGAGCCATGGGAGTGAGTTTGATTCCAGATTCAAAAGTTGACTAAGGAATGTAGTCTCGATAACACTCTGACTTTTTAAAAGGTTTTTGAGTTTTGTTTCACATTTGTCCTCCTCTGTCAAGCATCTTCTGCTGTGATGCCTTTGAGAGATGTCAGTGAGAGAGCTGGGCACCATCTAAGTCTTCTGATCTCAGAGTTTTAGAAGCTGAAGTTTCAATGGTCCATGAATCCTTTGTACTAATTGTCTCATTAAAGCTTTGCTTGTCTTCTGTCTTCTTTGTTCCAGACAGAGACAACTGGTTTGGGTTTAGTGTTTGGCATTGCATGTGGGTTAAGTGGCTTTTTAAAAGTCATGCAAACAGCTCACCCCTCAGCTGCATCCAGGCATCCTGTTGACATGCGGAGGGGACAAAGTCTTCAGTTGCATGAGATCTAGCTTCTGCCTTACTTGTGTCATCAAGCTTTAACTTCCTTTGCCTCTCCTGAGACAAAACAGAGGCCAAGGCCTATTGACCTGTCATCCTCAATGATGATAGAACCCAGTTTGGTTGTAGAATTCTTTCTCCTGGTGCAGGTGACTGGGATGTGGGCCCAGGGACGTGACCCATCTCTGCAACCATCTGTAACCATGAACGAGAAAGTCACATTTATAAATATTTTATTAACGCATGATTATGGCAATAACTTCTCCTGGGCCTCCCCTCACCCCCGGCTTATAAATTATTTTGAGAAGAGCCTCCTTCTGTCTGCCTGGGCGACCTGCCCCGATGATTTACTTACTCTAAATTCTGCTTCGGAAGATCTCATAATAGGTTGCTTTAAAATCAGCTATTAAGAAGTTCAAAGTCATATATAAATGTCTTCTGCTTTGTGTCACAACAGATCATTTTGAAATATATTAAGAGTCATTTCCATTAATCAGGGTTTGGTGGGGTTTTTTTCCCCTTCTCTTCATTAAAATGATCCTCCCTTCCCAGTGCTCCTGATTCCCTTAATTTATTTTGAGAACCACAATCCGATGTTCAAAAACCTCCCCCTTCCATCCCTGCAGGGAAACTGGGGTCTCATAACTGGACTCAAGTTTCTGTGTTGTCTGAGCAGTAACCACGACCATCATTTTAATTCTTTCAAATACACATGTGCCCCTGGTTAGATCTTTAGAGGTGACTGGACGCCTGCAGTGACCCGCGGAGGAAGAAGGGTGTCACAGGCAAGAACACAAGCCCAGGAGTCAGCTTGCTGCTTGCAAATCCCAATTTGGCCTCTTGGAACCTCAGTCTTCCCCTCTGTAAAATGGGGAGGAAGTGAAAGAAACCACTTTTGAACTTTGTTAAGGGTTAAGCGAGTTAATGCCTGAGAAGGAGACACAGGAGGAAGGACTGGCCAGATTGGCAGATTGGCTTTATGGGATGCAGCTCGGCCCTGCTGGGACTTGAGTCAAACTTGAAGTCATTGCCATTGAGTCAGAACTGATGCATAGCTGACCCTCCATTGGATTTCTGAGGTTGCAAATCAAGAAGGAGATAGCCCAGCTTTTCGTCTACACTGGCGGGTTCCTGGCTCCTGGGCTTCCTTGAGAAGAGCCCTCGTTGGAGAAGCTGGGCATGGTAACTTTGAGATCTTGAGACACATACCCACTTGGTGGCTGAGGATACACTTCCCACCCTTTTTTTTTTTGCGTCGCATCCACACCTCTGTCCCATCTCTCGCTGGTGGGTCCCTTGCAGAGGCAGGGGGAGGGTGTTCTCACAGAGTCACACCACCCAGCAGGCAGCCGGTGATAGGCAGTCAGACACTGCCGTTCATTTGCTATTAACCAAGGCCCCAGCCGTCCCTCAGGAGCTGTTAGATAACAAGTCAGCCACATTTGTGTTTCATATCCTTGGCAAAATGAGAAATGCTTGTGGAACAATTAGCTGGAGCCCGTGAATTCCAAGGGCCAGGGGAACCCGTGCCCTCTGTGCTTTGATGAAGGAAACCTCTCCAGGGTGCTGAAGAGCAACAGTGTCAGTCTAGAGACTAAGGTGCACTTCATCAAAGTAAGGAGAGTGGAGGACGGCATCACCACTTCAGTGTCCATCTGTCACACCGTGGTGGTTTGCATTTGCTTGATGCTGGAAGCTTGTCCACTGGCATTCCAGACAGGGTCACTTGTGGTGGCCAGATCTCAGTAGTGCTTCCAGACTTTTGGCAGTCCATGGAATAGTCAGAATTCTTCACCAACGTCACAACTC